GTAAACCTCATACCAAATTATATATATATATATAATATATATATATATATATATAATATATATATATATATATATATATATATATATATATATAATTTGGTATGAAGTCGGTATATAATTTAATATATATACAAGTATTTGTGTGTGTGTTTGTGTGTGTGTGTTGTATGTTTTACCAGGTTGTATATTTATTTGTTTTGACTATATATATATTTCATCCAAGTATTTTATTTTCAATGAAAAAATTTTCAGCTTTTTAATGAATTAATAGCAAATTATTATTAATGTTGACGACGATTTTATATTTAACCTTATTCATCTTATTTAATTTTATACCTTATTCATCTTCGTTATGTGTATGATAAATTACTCGTTTTACCGCTCCTAGCTTATAATAATTTTTATTTTCTCATTCATTCATTTATTTTTTCGTTTATTCCTTCAAGCGTTCATTTATTCGTTTTTATTTTCATTCATTCATTCATATTTTCATTCATTCATTCATATTTTCATTCATTCATTCGTCTGTTCTACCCTTCATTTGTTTTCCTTCAATTCATTCGTTCCTTCGTTTATTCATTCATTCATTCATTTTTAGTGTATGTTTATCCTTTTGTTAGACTATCTACTACCCATTTATAATTTGTTTATTTATTTTTTCTTTATTCTTTTTTTTCATTCATTCATTCATTCATTTGTTCATTTATTCGTTCATTTGTTCATGTATTCGTTCATTCTTGCATTCATTTATTCAATCATTTGTTCATCTATTCATCCGTTTGTTCGTTCATTCATTTTTTGGTTCATTCATCCGTTCGTTCGCTCATTATTTGGTTATCCATGTTTTCCATTCCTAGAAATCGTGCTGCGGATTCTTATTACATCAATCTTTTAATCCTTTGTATGGCGCTTAATTTTTTCAAATTTAGTTTTTTGAAATTTTTAGAATGATAACATTTGCTTTTGATAGCGTAGAAATTTTAACTGCCATTTTGTAACGTTGTTCTTTCTTGACGGATTCCAGTTTTCGAGAAGTTTACCTATTATTCGCTGACAGATTTTTACAGATTACGACTTTTACGATTACATTTCCAGTTCCGTCACTGGAGTTCCAAGTGACGACACATTTCAAAATAGGGACCGTCACACTGGGCAACCTATTACGTGGTTACGAACATCGCAGCTGCAACAGTCACATACATTTATTTACTTTACAACACTCGTTACAATACAATTTACAAATTACATTTCCTACAAAATTCCAAACGGACAAAAATTTTTTTTTCTCATAAATTTCATTTTTTATTATTTATATTTTTTGGCTTTTTTTAATGAGGAATTCATAATTTCATGTATCTTAAATTTCATTAACGTTTGAACGTCGTTCCTGCTTTGATATACATGCTATATGATATGTGTATGTTTGCTTGTTCATGTTTTAATGCGTGTGTGCGTGCGTGTGTGTGTTTGTGTGTGTGTGTGTGTGTATGTGTGTGTGTGTTCAGCGACGTGTCTAGGGGTGGCCATTTTGGCCACACTAGCACAAATTTGGTTGGTTTCATGGCCACCCATCAAATTTCAAAATTTGAAGATTGTTAATTATCATTTTGGCACCTTTACAACAACGTTGTCTAGATCCGCCACTGTGTCTGTGTGCGTGTGTGTGTGTGTTCATGTATATGTGTGTGTGTGTGCGTTTTTGTGTGTGTGTTTATGTATGTGTGTGTGCGTCTTTGTGTGTGTGTGTGCGTCTTTGTGTGTGTGTGTGTGTGTGTCTGTCTGTCTGTCTGTTTTAAATTCCGTCTTCTTTATACTCATATGTATATTGTTAACGACTAATTTTGTTAAGTAACTACGTATATGTATTAAGTGTTGTTGTTATTATTATTATTACCATTTTTGTTATTGTTATTATTATTCTTATTATTATTATTTACCTTAATGTATTCGGAGCTGAATGATTGAATTCATCGTACGTTAATTCCTACATAGTTATTTCAAAGAAATGATTTTGGCTTGCATGTCACTAGCTTATATCATCAATATATATATATATATATATATATATATATATATATATATATATATATATGTTCGGTTAAAGATTACACCCAATTTTGCAGTTAGAAGTAAGATATAGTAGTACATAGTTAATAAAGTTGAAACAAAACAGCTTCGTGTTGTTGAAATTTTATTTAAAAAACTTCTAACTGCAAAATGGGGTGTAATCTTTAACCGAACATGTTTATCTGAGAACCTCATACCAAATTATATATATATATATATATATATATATATATATATAATTTAATATTTGACAGTATTTTAAATTATATATATAAACATATATATATAAATATATACATATTATATATATAATATTTGATAAAATTTACCGAATTTTTAGCTTTTGGAAGTTTACGGATGAGCTTTTCAATATTTCTAACAGAAATTTTATAATTATCCAATTTATTAAAATTAATAAGAAAATCCTTGGTGTTCATGGTGAGGCGTATATATATATATATATATATATAATTTAATATTTGACAGTATTTTAAATTATATATATAAACATATATATATAAATATATACATATTATATATATAATATTTGATAAAATTTACCGAATTTTTAGCTTTTGGAAGTTTACGGATGAGCTTTTCAATATTTCTAACAGAAATTTTATAATTATCCAATTTATTAAAATTAATAAGAAAATCCTTGGTGTTCATGGTGAGGCGTATTATGGGCATATTTCGATTCTACTCATCATCAGCGTTTATATAGGGATATTTCAAGGTTTTACAATTCTCCGTGTGTGCAAAAGTGCTTTTATTCTGCTTCGTCCTATTCATTTATTATATCTTTATTCTCCATGTTAAAAATTTTGAAAATCTCAACCGTAAACTTTCACAAGCTAAAAATTCGGTAAATTTTAAACGAATATTGCATCAATTATGGTCTCCTTCCATTTATATCTAACCCGAATATATATATATATATATATAAATATATTTATATATATATATATATATATATATATATATATA